CCATAGTTTAGTTATTCCTCTTCCAGAATGCCATATAAATGGCATCATCACATATTCCCTCTATTGTGTCTGGCTTCTTTCCTGTAGAATGTTTTTTGAGGTTCATCCATGATGTTGCATGTATCAGCAGTTCATTTATTTTATTGCCGAGTATGAATGTTTTTATTATGACTTTTGTGAGTTAAAACTATGTGAGTAGAATGAATTACCTTCTTAGATGTTACAAAATAAGGCCACATTTGAGGATTTTCTCTTCCGCATAGGTCACTTCATTCCATAACTTATCCTATTACACAAAGTATATCTATGTAAACAAAATTATTCTAATCACAATGAAAACTAGTTCAAATATTTACTATAAGGAAAGACATTGTATCAGGGTATTAGGGACACATATATATATATATATATATGTGTATAATATTTATTTTTATTAAATACTTATTGGAAGCCTACTATATGGCATGATACCATAAGAATTTTCTCATGTTTTGAAATGATATATAAAAGCTGTAGAAGAAATGGAGCATTTGTAACTGATCTAAATCTCTATATTTATTTATAATTGATAACTACCAGTTTTAGTATTAATCTGTCACTTTATAGGCTGATGCAAATGAAAAAAGATTACTTGTGAAGATACAGGGTCTGAGAAAAGTGAGTTCCTATACACCATTTTTCAAAAACTGTCCTGGAGGCTTTCTTTGCTGCTTGTTCTTGAAAAATAGGCTCCATGGGGTTGAGGCATCATGGAGATTTTAATTAAGTTTTAATTAAATGTTTTCCATGGTTTTGCATAATAAGGAGATAGTATCAAATCTAATTCCTGAAAAATCTAACATATATCCTGGTAATCAACACATGAGGAAACTGTTAAGCATCCACATATAATTTAGTGCTATTTCTATTAAGTGCACTTTAAAAGGATAATCCTCACACAGTTTGTGAATGTCTTCATTAAAATTGCTGAACTCAGTAGAATACTCTAGGGAAGAAATTTTTTAAAAAAACTTCAAATTTTTGTTGGTTTGGTATACTGACAATTTAGTAATTTAGTGTCTCTGAAATTATTTTGTGTTTTTTATTTGCTAATTTGTAAAAGTATTACATAAGCACTTTTTTGTATTTTTAAATGTTGAAGGACATAGAAAGTCTTGCATCACTTTCAAATGTGTGAACATAGTAGGAGCTGCCTGAACTCTGTTTCTTTATAATTGGGGGTAATAATATATTAACACTATAGAATTGTAAGGTTTATCTGAGATAGGATCTCAAAAGTATTTCATTGTTGCACCTTGGGTAAAAGGAATACTTTAAGCCTTATATCCAAATGAAGTTATATGGGTAATTATAAACATTAACTAACAGGATTGAACGTGTAAAATATATCACAGTTCTTTCATTGCTTAATTTTTAATACATTGTAAGCCTTAAGCAATTGAAAGTGTCTTGTGCCCTTGACCTTCAAGGGACTAGTTTAAAAAACTTGTGACATGTAACAGAATCCAATTGACCAACATATTTTGAGTTTTAACTATTTGCTAAGGATTGTATTAAGTACTAAACATACAAAAATGAATAATGCAGGATTCCTCACTTCCTTTGCCTTATTTAGCTTTTCCCCTTTCTCCTTTTAGTTTTTCATTCAATAGGTATTTTTACTCCTAATTTTAAGGTCTACCTTTTAACTATAAATAGATTGGACTAGATGGTGTCTAAGTTTTCTTCCAATTATGCCTTTTAGATGTATGCTTTGAATACTAACATGGATATGTGCAAACATTGAGGCAGGTTTTGCTAAGAAATGCAGCAAGTTTGAAATTTGTTTATACCCAAGTCTGAGAAACTCGGCTTTGGAGTCAGACTGGCCTAGATACAAATATTTACCACTTGGGCAAGTACCAAATCTCTGAATTTTTCTCTGTGACATATTTTATAAAATGGGGCTATAAATACTACTTCCTTTATAAAGCATTATGAAGACTATAGGAAATAATGCATGTAAGAGACTTAAACAGGTGTGTTTGGAATATAACAAACTCAAAATAAGTGCTAGTCATTATTCCTCAGGTTGGTATGAATATAGGTAATTTACTTATCTGGAAAAATATTCCTAAGTATTCCCAAGTTAGGTAAAGTGTATTTTTCCTTATTTTACAAGAGAAGTTTAGCGAACTTTAGTGAGGATGACAAAATAAATGTATTTTCTGTCTATGCTAGTCATGTTCTTGTCAAGAACCACACCCTGAGATTCTTTGTTGGTGGCAGACTATTGCACAGTAGAATCATCTTACAGCTAGTATTTTCATTCCTCAGCACTGTACTCAAAACAACAGTTCTACCAGATGTTTGCTCAATGAGCAAATGATTGGCTGGATGAATGGATGAAAATGATTGCTGTTAATACACTAAATGTAAAACAAAATTTTGCCTGAGGCAATATTAGTAAATAGTTAATAGCAACAAGAATTTAGCTTTTACTACTTGTTGGTACTTTTCCATAATTTCCTAATCCTCTGTTTCTTACATTGATGCATCCATGTGGACAAAGGTGCAATATGGTGACTTCACAAAATGTGATCCAATCATATTTTTTACTTGTTTATAACAAGAATCCCAAGTACTAACTGCGGTAGTTAGCATTAATTTTCCTATTTTATTTTCGAAAAATGTGGGACCAGAAAAAAGTAGATAACCTAGTATGACAGACTGATTTTTAATCAAAATGTTACCCTGTTTCAGAGAGAGGTGCTTTTTTCCCAAAGTTCTAGTGTTGTCTCACATATTCATAGCCAAAGATGTCCTTATGAGTCTAAGATGCACTTTCCAGTAGTGCCCTGGAGCTCTTTCGCATTCTCATGTACCTGTTATGATTATGGAACCCCATTAAGAAGATTCCCTTTGAGATACTGAGATAAAAAATCCAGAGTATTTATCATTAGAAGTTATGACATTGGACCAAATCATGCTTCCCTTTCTGTACCTTTGATCTTAATGATCCAAGTTTGGGCCAGAAAGATATTATGCTCTTAGAACAGCTGCTGGGGTATAAAAGAGCATTTTTGAAAGGGATAGAGATTGTGAAATATGGATTGAAATCAGGGACAGTGAATTCAGCAGCTGTGTATAAAAGAAGCATTTTGATGTCTAGTATGGTAATACACCAATACTTATGGTCAGATAATTTTAATTAAACTTTAAAGTATTAAAAGTTAGAAGTATACATATTGTTTAGACTTTTCCCCTATATATTTTGTGTGTGGAGTCAGATGCAAAGTAGAAATATAATAAGGACCTAGAAAACTCCCAGTAGGAAAATCAGTTGAAATAATCCAGATGCTTCTACCATTTTAAAGGTCAAATCTGGTTTGCTCATAAAGCCCAGAGTAGTGTGAGAATAGATGTTTAATAAATCTTGGAATCTGGTAGTAGAAGAAAAGTGGTGAATTTACAGACCTTAAGCTTGGTTGCTTGGATTTTCACATTATGCCATCTAAGAGTGGAAAAGATTTCTTCCAGCTGTAAAATTGTGGGTTAAAAGAAATGTCACGCTTTAACTTTTTTTTTTCCTATTTAAATCCATATGCTCTGAATGTTAGCAGATTTTCAGACTTTAGCAACTGAAGGCTTTTTATTCATAGGACAGGCTTTGCAGGAACTACTATAGTGCAAATTCATCCCTATAACTCTTCTAAAATACATATATTTTTTCTTGGAGATACCAAATCTTGGATAGCAAGAATAATTTCATAGTGTCCTTCATAGCTTTGCTTTTTGTTTGAAAGATCCAGAAAGTGCAGAGGTTATGATGTATTGCTTTAGTGACACGAACACTTGTCCCTTAGGATTGACATTTCAGGAACTTTTTCATGTATTATAAAGCCACATGGAGAGAGTGTTTGAAAGTCACTGGATAGCTGACTTCACCCACAGGGAGAGTGACAGGGACCTGGAGTAAAGCCTTTTCAGTGAAAACCTTTAGGCATAATTAGATTATTCTAGCAGGTAGTGGATTCATGTCAATCCAGCCATCCCCAGAGGATGCTGAGGGCTACCAGCCGCACATGACAGCTTTCACTGGCTGGTTGCTGCTGAACTCCGAGTTAACTCCAGGGACCTTTTGAACTGCCTTCAGGGTATGGGCACAAGAATGCAGCAGGCTCAAGAGATTTTAAAGATTCCTTGTCTATATGAGTTGGCCCTGGGGATTCAGAGAGAAACTGAGATGGTGGCGGTAATTCTAGGGCACTGTGAAATGTAAGCTATTTATGAAATACTGATGCAACATATAATGAGCTCTTTTTGTATTAGTGCATTAGTGTGCCAATCCTGGCATAATAAACACAAAATATTTATGAAATGCTGAACTGACACGTATTGAAATAAACAAAATATGTTATAGGTTAGTTGGGTTTACATCATCTTTGAACATTGTTATTATGGGAAGCATGGTTTTAAAGGAACAATTCAATTACATAATTAATCATTAGTTCTCTTATGCACTAATATTTAGAGGAATTTTGTGACAAACATGTTAGTTGCTTACTCATTACCTATTTTCTTCTGTTGTTGCTTAGCCCAAGACAGTGTAAGCGTTTCATGAACTTCCTGTTCCCTGCTTTCTCAGCTATGAGATCCCATTGTGACCAATGAAATCTAAGGTCCAAGGGCTATGGTAGTTCTTGGAATAGCCTTTACTTTCTTGGTGAAAATGAACACACATCTTTGGCTTAGCCAATGTTGTCCTCTTTGCTTTCATTGTTCTGTTTGTTCTTTCATTTAGAAGTTGAATTAATGAGTACAACTCCCTTCTACTTCTGGCTATGGGAGGTAAATAAACTCTTAGTTATTTAAAACATTTTAAAGTCATGATTGCAAAGTGGCTGCTACAACTTTAGGTCTCACATTTTTTCCCAGGTTAAAAACAAAGCTCATCATGACTGACATCTATTTAGATGTCATTGACCATAACTGGTTCACATGGCTAGAAAAGCAGGGCATAGACATAGAAAGTGCCTGTATCCCTGTTGTCTTCATTTAGTAGGTGAATCTATGAATTCAACTGCCTGCCTCTGAACTTTCATTATTTGTTTAAAGCATTGTAATAATATTGTATGCTATTTGCAGCTGAACATGTGACAAAATAAGTAGAATTTGGATGGAGGAGAATATTTGAAAGTTAGGAGGAGTATGACTGAAGGATGAGCTAACGAGTAGATTGCCTTGTCTTAAGTGGATCGACCGTTCTCTGAAGTAGTGGAAAGTCAGCTACTAAATGCATAAAATGCTTTATCATAAAACGAAAGTCTATTCTAGCATTATTATAAATATTAATAAAATTACTAGCTAAAACATTTTGCTAGTCCATTTATTATGTTTTTCTAAAAGCATTTTCTCAACCAGGATTTAGGAAACACTTCTAACTACGTATACAACTCTCATATAGACAAACTAGCAGAAGATAGAGAATAAATAACCCAAAATGCTAATCTTAAAATCTCTGTGTTTGTATTTACCAACCAGGAAATACTTTACAGCATATCTACTTGCTCTGAACTGATTTGAAGGGCCCCAGGGCTGTAGCAGTAAGGTTAATTTGTTCATGGATTGTTAATTTTTAATTACATGTGACTTGGTCTGTAGTAACCCACCATTTATAAAGAAATTGTTTTCTGTTTACATTTAGATAAGATACATTGATAAGTAACAATTAGAGAATATATTTTTACACATCTGACCTTAAGGGTTTGTATTGTTCTTTAAAACTGATTATTATAAGGTGTTTGAAGCAAGATTTGGCCTAAAGTCCAATGAATTTGAAATACCTCACTAGATCGAAGAAGTGATTTCACTAGAAATGGCAAATTTCTTGTCTAATAAGCTACTGTCCTAAGTTAAAAAAAAATCAATCTGTTGTATCAAAATGCTTTTTCTTACATTCAGATTCACACTGGTGACTATTTTATTATTACAGGGGAGCCCAATGTGAGTGAGATGTTACAAATACTAACAGTGAAGAAATCTGGTTCTCTTAAGTCTATGTTTTTGGCTGAAGCTACAGAGTTTCCCAGTGGTGTCTGTTATAAAGTAACATGCAGGACTTGGCAGCAAGTTAGAGATAACAAGACTTCTGTCCCAAAGACTGTCCAAGCCACATGCTAAATTTTGCCCTTCTGTCACCAGTCTCCTCCGTCCCATGTCAGAGTCAAATTTGGAAACTGGTGACATTGGAAGTACTTGCTATGCCTGGCAGAACAAAACCCAAAGGTCTTATTGTTCATGACAGTTCGGATGTACTTGAACAGTAATTACTGTTCATATGGAGTTCTTTGTGGTGTTCTTCTGTTTCATGAGTTTTTGTCTTCCTTTAGATGTTCCCAGTGTACAGGGTACTGAATATTAGAAGCAGCAAGAAATGGCACAAATTATTTTTTAAATATTATTTTATGTGAAAGTCAAAGAATGCTAGTACAAATCTAACATTTGATGGACTATGTTTGTTGCATATTAACCAACTAGGTAAGGCTAAATAATACAGAATTAATAACTATATATCAAATAAATAGATTTAACACTTTAGTTTTATAAGTATATAATTGAAAACATCACATTGAAAGTTATCAATTTATACATAATATAAATGAATCTCAGAAATAAAATGTTAAATAAAAGAAGCCAGACACAAAAAAGTACATACAGTGTGATTCCATTTACATAAAGCTCAAAAACAGGCAAAACTAGTATGTGTTCTAAAACATTAGGGTGGTGATTATGCCTGTCGTAGTACTTGAAAGTGGGACAAAGTAGGGGCTTCTGAAATGTAACATTCTCTTTCTTGCTCTAGCTAAAGGTTACATGATACGTATATTATGAAAATTTATCCAGCTGCATATTGAAAATTTGTATACTTTTCTGTTTGAATATCATTCTTCAATTGAAAAAGTAAAAGAAGAATTAACTCTAAGTAAAATGACAGTTATTTTGGAAAAAATACACAAACCCACAAAAGAATTACTTTTCAACAGAATTCAGATCTATTATCAATGATAATGTTAATTATTTATGGAACATAACTGGGTTAGACATGGTTCTAAGTGTTTGAATTACCTTACTTTCTTTAGTGATTACACCATTTTAGAGGTGTTGATTATTCTGTTTGTTAAAGAGGAATTGGGATTTGGGATTTAGAGAAATTAAGCAGCTTGCTCAAGGCCACATCTCAAGTTAGGGGTTGTATGTAAATTTGAATATTTATTTGTTTAACCTCAACAAAGAGGAGAAGCTTTCACCCTGGGCCACATGCTTCTACTTACTATCACAGTTGCACATTGAGACAAATTAATTTCAGACTCTGGCCTGGATTTTCATTTTGAGGATGGGTATTTTCTTTTTAGACTGAAGTTTCCATTTCCATGATAATCAATGATTGTTATTATAAACAAACTTTATCCTCAGTCTGTACTGGGCATTTATATAGCTGAAGAGGGAATCCAATATAAAGCAGCAATAGTAGTTTACAACTAAAGTTTGGAAAGACCAAAAGATTAGAAGATAATCCCCATGGGTGAAGTTGGAGATATTTTGATTGGCAACCTCATATTTATTTTTTTATTATTTTAGGAAGCTGCTTCCTAATCTTGGCCTTTGTACTTCTAAACCTTGTGGTTGAGAGAGAGAAAAAAAAAGGAAGGTGGTAACATAAAATTCCATAAACTTAAGAACAGTGATTTTTAATTTATTAGGGCTATATTGTGTAATTAGATTTTACGAACCAGGTAGTCTAATGGACTACATTTTATTTCTCATTAGAAAATTGATTTCTTTTCACTGGCCATACACATGTCCTGGTGAAGGAGTAAATGCTAGGGAAAAAGGGATGTAAGGTAGGTGGGTCTGTACCTTGGGGGAGATAGGCATTAACTTTTGTGCAAATCAGAATTACAAGGTAAAAGAAGTGAAGCATTAATGCTGTATAGTTTGAAAAGCACTGCTTCATCTAATTTTACCCTCATGATTCTGAGATTAGTATTATTGTTATGTCCATTTTATAGATTAGGAATCTGAGGCTCAAAGAGGCCACTTAGCACAAATGCATTTACCCAGTAGGTAACGGACTGTGGGAATGAAGGGGAGGAAAATTAATTTTTGCTAGATAAACTAGGAAGGCTTTAGAAAGAAATCCATGATTAGGTGCTTCAGGAACAAGTCAAATTTAAACACAAGAAAGTAAGGGGAAGGGCATTGTGGTTTGAATGAGCTGTGAGAACTCAAAGCCTAAAAGCAGGAGAAAGTATGTCTGTTCTGGTCTATGGTCAGGCATCCACTGTGGGTGAAAAACAGCTTTCAGAGCCATTGTAGTTCGGCTGGCAGTAAATTTTTTTGTGATGACCTCATGGAGGCCTGGTTCTGTAGGCTGTAGACAGACTCTTGTGTGTGTGAGAAAACACCAATGTTGTGGATGGGTGCAATAAGTGAAGAGATAGAAGAAAAGAAACCAGGTAGTGAGTTATGACAGTAGTGTAATGTGAGCTCCAATTAGGATGAAGCGGTAGAAACAGGAAGAGAAAAGGTAGAGGGAAGATTGAAGGGCATGCCAGTGGTCATCTTTTTCTAAGGAGGCCTAGTACTTCTGCCTTTATAGAACTATCTGTTTGATTACCATCACAGAGGAATCTTGAAAAATCTCAAAGAATTTTCATTATAACTCCATTGACTCACTATTTTGGGAAAATAGGGTAAATTTATTAAAATTACAGCAAGAATAAATATACTTTTCACTTATTCAAATTATTTTTTTATTTTACATTGATACATTATGAAATACAAGTTTGAATCACGAAGCTTTGGCTTTTGCAGGTTTCGAAGTAAATATGACTTGCTGTATCACACACAGTTATGACTTCCTACATTTCTAGCTTGAGCACCTGGCATATTTGATACTCAGAGCAGATTTTTAAAAATATCCTCTCCTCTATATAACAAGATTACTTTTTAGTAATAGGGTAATGTAAATAATGTTATTACTTTTTGATTTGTTCTTTACGTTTAAAACAACAATGAAATTGAGTACATTTTAATTTTAAGGTTTAATTCAAATATTTAAAATTGTTATACAAATGCAGTAAAATTCATAGTAAGAAACTGTAAATGTTGCATGTATCATTTCATTAATTTAAACATAAATAAAATTCTATGTAGGCCCATAGGATGACAGAATTAAGGTAATTTAAGTTCTGATTCTTCTTTACAAAAACTGCACTACCATTGCTTATTTTGAAACAGATAGTACTACATGTGTTAGAGACACAAATTGCAGCTAAAGCAAGCTTAAATGATTCTGAACTATTATAAAACTTACAATTGTTGGCTGGACAGGGTGGCTGATGCCCATGGTCCCAGCACTTTGGGAGGCTGAGTTGTGTGAATAAAGCATAGAAATTTGGAGGACAACCAACATACGACTAACTTCCACTTATCTCTGATAAGTCAAACTTCCACTTACCTCTAATAAGTCACTCCAACATACAGCTAACT